TTAAATCCTTATTGGTTTAAAAAATTATTCAAAAAGTGATAAAATACTAGAAATATCAAAATTTTGTCAAAAATATGTGAAAAATTAATCAGACTATAGTATTATTAATACTTTAGTCTAATTTCATTTCCATTAATATTGTGGAAATGAAATGAAATAAATTACTCTAATTATGAACAATGTGAGAGAGTGATGTTTGGATGATAAGATATGCATGATCATATTATAACTTATAACTTCACATCATACTGAAATATTCTCTGTGTCAAAATAATTAAATAAATCTGATGTTGACAAGTGTTATGATAAATTTTTCAAATCTTAATTAAGCATACTAATTCAAAGCAAAAATTTGCATTTTATAATAAAGCCAATATCATACATGTGAAATAATTAATTTCTGTTCATTAATTATTATACCTCATTGTTTATTCATTTATGAAATGTCATTAAATGATTTTTAATTATAATACTATTAACATAATACAAATAAATAGAAGTATTTGAGAATAATATTGGAAAACTGAATCTAATGCAATTCTAAAAAGTACCCTTCTTTTTTACACTAGCTTTAATTTTTTAAGTAAAATGATTTTAGTGAACTCAATTTTGACAAAGTTGAACCGTTAAATTTCAATTTTAATCAATAAAAAATCAATTAAAATATCTGAGTTGTAGCAAAATTTATTCAGAAGTAATTTTTCGTTCCTTTTTCTTTCTTTTTTTTTTTTTAACTACTAAATATCAGTTCTTTGACGAAGTATTTTAAAAAAATATGGTTAATGAAAAATATAATTATATGCTGTAATATACGCATATAGAATAACTTCATAAATTGCTGGGAAAAAAAACCTAAATTTTTAATTTATTTCAAATTTTTATTTGTTCAAAAATTTTCCAAAATACATGAATACACTTATTGAAAAATTCGCTTCCTTTCAATTTTTTCATTTTCATTTTTTTTTAATCATAATTATTAATTTTTGTTATTAAAAAAACAGAAAATATTTGAATTTTCATTGTTTTTTTCGTTTCAAAACATAATTAATTGATGTGTTAAATTTGGAAACAAAAGTATTTATACAAATTTTTATCATTCAAAACGATTAAAACTTTGCAAAAAACAAAAAAAATTAAAAGGAGGCAAATTTGGAAAAAAAAAATGAATTTTTATTACATGAAAAAGGTAATGCAATGTTAAAAGGCAAATGCAGATGTTTTGAAAAATAACAGCAGTCAATCTTATCTTATAATTATGCGGAAATGTCTACATTTTTCTATTATTTTCTTGGCGCTTTTTAGCAGATGTTTCGTATTTTTTGAAAAAA